CTGGGACCCCTCAATGCTGCAAGCTCCTGTCCTCCACCTACCTCATCCTTGCTCGTGTACTCCACGATCTCCGTACACAAATTGCTGCATTTGATGGTGCCCAGGTTCTGCTGATTGCTCTTCCGGTTGCAGGAGTCTTTGTACAGCATGTACGGCGTGCCGGTCTCCGTCTGGGATTCAATGATGGCATACCAGAGCTGCTGGGCCTTCACCACTCTGCGCACACGGCCTTGCTTCTCGTAACTGCAAGAGGGCACAGGTCACTTGACAATGCCCAGGCTCTCCAAAACCAGCAGCAACAAAGCATCACTGTTAGCACAGCGCCAGGGTCTCCTGCAGGCAAGGTTCCACGCGCTTCCCAGCTGCATGAACCCTGAACTGGCTAGGAGAGTCTTCGCAGCAGGGTGTGGGGGCTGGCCGCATTCCAAGGAAATACAAATCTGTCACTACAACATCCCGACGAACCCGTTCACAACGAGCCACCGACCGCTTTCAGCGGGATCGCTTCCAAATTTCCCTCTGACAGCCTGAAAAGGTCATTCCTACCGAGTTCTACCTTGAGCAGGCCACAGCTGGAAGCAAATGGCAAATGGACATTCCCCACCTCTGGCCTTTTATCAGCCTGAAAACGGAACTCACTGACCACAGCACAAACCGGTGCTTCGGCTGCCCGGCACCACACAGCACGGTCAGCCAAGAGAACGCTGACCACAGCTTCACACCCCGTTCCCCCTTCTCACCTCTCATAGAGTTGCTCAAATTCCTCTCCCCAGACCTCATCCAGGCCAGGACACTCATTTGGGCACATTAAGGACCAGTCCTGCAAGAGGGAAAAGTCTTTAGACACCTCGATAATTAAAGGCATCCAACTTCCTACAAAGGGACCCAGGAGAGTTGGGGGGTTCAGCCTGGAGAAGGGAAGCTCCAGGGAGACCTCAGAGCCCCTTCCAGTGCCTGGGGGGCTACAAGGAACCTGGGGGGGCTTTTCCAAGGGCAGGGAGAGACAGGACAAGGGGAAATGGGTTTCAAGGGGAAGAGGGAGATGGAGATGGGCCATCAGGAAGGAATTCTTCCGGCAGAGGGTGGCAGCACTGGGACAGGTTCCCAGAGAAGCTGGGGATGCCCCATCCGTGGGAGTGTCCAAGGCCAGGCTGGATGAGGCTTGGAGCACCCTGGGCTATGGAAGGTGTCTCTGCCCATGGCAGGGGGTGGGACTGGGGGGGCTTTGAGGTCCTTTCCCACCCAAACCATCCCGTGATTCTGTGATTCAGCAGCAGATCCTGCTGTAAACAGGAACATGCAAAGTATACTCCCCATTCCGAACAACCTGGAACCCACCCTGCCAGCAGACACGGGGACGGGGCTTATCGAGCTAGTTGGACTGATTTTAAAAGTGTTTATATGAGTATGTCTGAGCAAACTGCACTTTCAGTCCTGGCTCTCCAGATCCAGCCCCCGTTAGCCTAAATACAAGCAGTCATAGGAAGATCAATTTGCTGAGATTTGGATGTTTTCAGGACATTCCAGAGGAACAGCGGAAGCATGTGAGTGGTGGGCTGGGAGACGAAGCACTGAAGCCAAGTATCCCACCAGAGCTCCCCAACTCCGTCCCCTACAATGCACAGCATGCTCCTCAAACACGGCGCAGCAGCTCTTCCAGGAGGTTCCTTGCGGCCAGGAAGAGAGCGCTGCAGCCTGCGCGGATTCCGTCCCGCGGCCGGACGCGGTTTTCCCGCTACCAGCCCTGTCCTGCACCAGTCCAGCTCCTCACCTGGTTGGTTTCAACACGCTTCATGAAGAGATCGGGAATCCAGAGGGCAAAGAAAAGGTCCCTGGCGCGCTGTTCTTCCTTCCCGGTGTTCTTCTTCAAGTCCAGGAACTCGAAGATGTCCAAATGCCACGGCTCCAGGTAGATGGCGAAAGCCCCGGGTCTCTGTCACGTGAACCAGCCAAGATCAGAACAAACTGCCCTTGAACACAGAAGCTCCTGCACTGTCCCAAGTGCAGACAATTCCCTAAACTACCACCACTCGTTTGTGGGCTCGTTAAAGCAATCTCAACGTGCTTTTTTGCATCACTGCTGCCCAGTCGGCCCTGGGCCACGCTACCAGATCCCGATTCTCAGTACCAAAACTGGATTTCCTCTGCGTGAAGAAGCCTGACGCATCTTAGCTTTACCTA